AGAACACAAAACCCACTTTTTTGTAGGATCTTATTGTAAACCCTTATATGGGATTTATAGGGACTCTACCAAAAAGTAGGTTTTGGGTTCTTAAGGCAGGGATCCATTCCCCCCATTTCCTAGGAGAAAGCCCTCTGAGGTCGTCAACTCCACGTTGCGTGGTAGTGAGCCTCGTCATTTGGCCTCCTGCGGCGTGGCAGGCGCGGCTTCTGCGATTTCGGAAGTTCTACCTTCTACCTTAAGGACCCAAAACCCCCACTTTATTGTAGGTTCTTATTACAAACCCTAATATGATATGGGATTTATAGGGACCCTACAAAAAAGTAGGTTTTGGGTTCTTAAGGTAGGGTTGAGGCATCACGAGTTAGGGCTTTAAATGTTTCACCAAGAGGGGTTTCAGGCTGTCAAATGCGAAGCCAAATCCTAGAATCCTCAAGCCCGCGTTGCTCTGCTGAACTGTAAGACGTACGTAGCATCTTTGGGCCCTATAAACCGGAAGCATCCGGAAGTCTTAAACCCAAATCCCACGGCAAGCCCTACAAGCCCCTGTGTTTATACCTCAAGCCCGAGACCAAGCAGAAAAGTAGGCTACGCCATCCGCCCGAATATCCCCCTCGCTCTGATGGAGCGTCCCTTAGAAACACCAGAAGATCACCAGAATAGAAACTCCTGCTGGAACCTTTACAGTAACCCTATTAGGCCCTAGAACCCTTGTAAAGCCCTTATGCACCCATTCTTGAATTCGAACCAAGCTTTATTGTAGGAACCCTGAAAGGAATCTGAGCAGGAATCCTTGGAGGATCCATTAACGAGCCCCTATCGCAACCCCCAAACGGAGCCACAAATCGGGACCCCAAGACCCTAAACCCTCGTAGCCCTAACACTGAAATCCCCAAACTCTTATAGAAACCCGGACAGAAACCAAACCCTGACCTAAACGGAGCTCTTAAATGGGCCTTGTATAGGAACGCTTAACAGCCCTTAATTACAGGTATTATTTTGGAAGCCAAACCCCCCACAATAAACCCTCACAGCCCTAACCCCGAAGACCCTTGTAGCAACCTTGATCGTTACCTCAAGGGAGCCCTTATGACAGCCCTTAAAGACCCGAAGCCTCATAGGAGACCCTCAACCCCTAAGCCCTTACAGGAGCCCTCAAAAGAAACGAAGCCTTATAGGAGAGCCCTTAAAGGGACCGAAGCCTTATACGAGACTGTCAGCCCCTAAGCCCTTAAACGAACCCTTAAAGGACCCGCAGGCCTTACGGGAACTGGGCCCCCAAAGATCTGCGGAAGCCGCAAGGAAGAGTCGACTGTGGCGTCTGCAAATGCACCGATCCTGCCCGGCCCTCAAAGCTTTTTCTGTTTGGGGGTTTAGGGTTTCGGGTTTGTGGTTTAGGGTTTAGGGTGTAGGGTTTTGGGGTTTGGGGTTTAGGATTCAGGGTTTAAGAGTTAATTTAGGGTTGAGTTCAGCGCCTTAGTGCTTATAGGATGAACGGGTTCCTTAAAGAAAAAAGGTTCTATCAGGGCCTATACCGGGCCAGGCTGCGCAGGTCATGGGCTGAGAATGTCGGAGCTATAGTTTAGGGTTTAGGGTTTAGGATTGGGGGCTTGGGGTTTAGGGTTTTGGGATTTGGGGTTTAGGGTTTAGGATTCAGGGTGTAAGAGTTAATTTAGGGTTGAGTGGTAATGGGCTGAGAATATCGGAGCTATAGTTGGGGGCTTGGGGCTTACGATGTATTTTTTCTTCTGTCAGGTCTTCCGGGCTTCGGGTTTTAGGAGCGTTTCCAAAATCATGGTCGGGCTTTCTTTGCGGAACCAGCTTGTTGATCTAGGGAATTAGGGCATTCGTGGTTTCCTTGGACCCCAGCCGAAACTCGAGACGTGTCGCAGGGCTCTTCTCTTCATCGGTTCGTGGAAATCGGAGTAGTACCCATACACCCTTACAGTCCCATATGTTTGAGTAAGTAAACTGTAGCTACTTGTTGCAAGCACCTTTGCATACCCAGAGGGTGCTAGGTACTGTTGTGCGGGGATACTTTCCCAAGTCATACTAGTAGTTCCTACTTTTTTTTGGGTACTTTGGACCCTTTGGGATATAGCAGAGCCGAGACCCTCAAAGTTCTGTTCGGTTATGGACTTGGGCTTTTAGCTCGCGTGTCAAAATTTAGCTTCCGCTCCACGTAAATATTTGCCACAACTCCATCGTGCACTAAAAAGTGTGAAGACACGCAAGCCCAAGAGGGTCTATTAAAGTATTTTACTTCCAACCTCCCCACCCTACAGTGTAATGCATTGTGGGGTTGGGCACTCCAGGGAGTCTCACGGTAGTCTGTGGGGTTGGGCTCCTAAACCCTAAACCCTAAACCCTAAACCCTGAACCCTAAACCCTAAACCGGTAGTCTGTGCGGTTGGGCACTGGTTGGGCACTCTCATGGTGTTTGTGGGTTGGGCACTCCCACGGTAGTCTGTGGGGTTGGGCACTCCAGGGAGTCTGTGGGGTTGGGGTTCCAGGAGGTAGTCTCAGCGGGCGAGGAGCAATAGCTGATTTTAAAATTTAACAACCCCACACCGAGGGTGGGGAACAAGTTTATCCGGACTCCATGCGGGTGGTCTTAAAAGATCTACAGGATTCTGTATGGTTGCTAGAACGGTTCCCTGGAGTTTAGAGAAGTGTTTGTCCTAAGCAGTAGGATCCTTATTGAAAGGGCAGCAGCATCTTTTGACCCCAGCCACCTGACCCTCAGCGACCCTAAACGCACCCCACAAAAGTTGTGGAAGCTAATGAAGGTCAGATGAACCGTTCAATCAAGACCCATGAAGTTAATACCCTAAGCCCGAAACCCAACATACTATAGAAGCCTAAATAATTACCAATACTTTTTTTGTGGGGGGGGGGTCCTTAGTATAATTATAGTATAATGTACCCCACCCCCGCTTCTACAGTAAACGCTCAAGCAAGAGCCTCTGAAACTTTGCAGTAAATCCTCAAGAGGGTTTAGGGTTTAGGGTTTAGGGTTTCGCAAGCTGTATGAACCCTAAACCCTTCCCGGTCACAGCCCGTAAAGCACGTGCAAGACCTTCTAGAACCCCTCTTATGCCCACGAAATCCTTGCAGATAGGCCTACAACAACAGACATATAACAACCCCATCAGGTCTTTGGTTAATTAATCCCTTATAGAAGCATTTGGAACCCTATAGAGACACCTGTGGAACCTTCACGAAGCTTTTCAGCAGCACAAAAAACCTATGATTGTTTTCGGCTGAAACTTTAAAGACCCTTTATACAATGAACCTCTAGCACCCTTGTAGAAACCGCTGCGAAAGCCTATTAATAGAACCCTTTCTTGGAAGTGCGCTTAAACCCTGAACCCTAAACCCCGAACCCTAAACCCTTCGCCCTAAACCCTAAACCCTACAAGCCCTAAACCCTAGTAGCCCTGAGCCCTAAGTCCTACCGGGACAATAGGTCGCCTGCTCCTGGTGCGATGGCAACGGGGGGCCCGCGCGCATCACCGGCGGCTCAGGTCCCAGCAGAGCCAAACCTGAACAGCCTTATCCTGTGGCCCGAAAAGCTACCCCTGTTACAGAATCATATATATATATATAAACAAAACATAGTTTAATGAGGAACTCTTAACCGGTAAGTTTTCTCGGCTACAGGAATGACTAAACGAGCCCTACACCTTAAAATCTTCCCAAACCCTTCAAGTCCCCCTACTGTCATAGTAGAATCTTAGTAGAGGGGCCATACCTCAATCCAAACCAAAAACTGCTTTATGCCTACCTCAACGCCCTTAAGTTACCCTAAAAATCCCTCATAGTTGACCCGACAAACCCTCTACCATGTCCCTTTCGGTGTTGAGGTCACCCATGGCCGTATGATGCTCAAACCAGAGGCAGGACAGAATTTACAGCTAGGTTCTGGCGTCGCAATCGCGACTTTTTCGCGGGCCCCCCTCCTGTCTGCGACGCGTGAAGCACCATGGCATCGACCGCCTGGTCAGTGCGAGATGTATTGGCAGTCATCTTCATCTTGGTATGCTTTTTCTTCGCCTGGTTGATCTCCATGGGCCGGGTTCTCAAAAGTACCTATGGTCTCCATTGCACCCTAAACCCTCAATCCTAAACCTTTTTTGGGTTACCTCATTATAGCGGATCCTAAATAGTGTTCCAAGGGCCGGGCAGCCCAAGTAGGATGGTTTGGGTCAAGTCAGGTTTCGAGAATTACACCACGAGCGAGTTCAGGGTTTAGGGTTTAGGGTCAAAGCTAGTAACAATAGTAATGCTACTAATCATAGCAATAATCACAACCCTAAACCCTAAACCCCAAACTCCTGGTACTAAACAGAGCTAGAATGATACATAATGTCAGACTATCACTGAAGTTGCTCGAGACGGATACTGATGTGGGTAGTTCTCCAAGTCAGGCTTTAAACTTTAGGTCCCCAATATAGTACGGCACCCTTCTAACAGGACCCTAACAACGACCCGAATTTAGAGAACTACCCAAACTGAACCCTTGTAGTACCCGTATAGATCCCTATACCCTAAACCCCAAGTCCATAATGTAAGATAGAAACAGCAAAGTAAATATAGTATGATATAGTGATTGCTGTAAGCATCTACCATATTAATATTGTATGCTTTATAGCCTAATCATAGACCCAACGACAAAAACTGGAAAGCTTGAGCGTCCCAACTTTTTTGTCGCGCATGTTAGTGTTGGAGCTGTTCAACACGATGTTCCCTTGCAGAGTACTACAACGGTCAACATATTTCTCAGGCTGAAATCAGGGTTCCAAGAAGGGCCCAGCATGTTTGGCAATTGCCCTCTTGCATTTGCTTCCCTGCCGCGGCAGGGGAGAACCTGTTTGTCTTGCACTTTCCGGACCGAGAATACGCACAGCAGAAGATTGTGGACGCGGTGGGCTGTCTAAAGCTTTCCGAGGTTTGAAGTTTGTATTGTGGTCAATCCTAACTTGGACCCCGGAGCCAAAACGCTAAATCCTAGACCCTGAAGGCTAAAGCAAAGCCCTCGAGCCTACGCCCGAAACTCGTATTGCAGCAGCTATCGGAAGGTCTGGTGGCCCGTAACTTGCTATTCCTCAATAAACATCGAAAACTCCAGATCCTAAGCAGCCCGAGAGAGCCGTACATCTGCAGCCCTTGATTGAATTCCAGCAAAGAGGTACATAGTGTTGACTCTTCTCTCCTAAATCCCTCACTTCCGAATATTCATTCGTAGACACGGCTTAGACCCAAATGCAACAACCACAACCAAGAATCCTAACCACGGTCCAGGTTCAGGGCCTGGGGTTTAGGGGACCCTGCACATGCCGCAGTTCTGAGGAAGCATGACGTACACTTGCTAGAATGTGAATAATGTAGGGGCCTTAAGAATTAGAATAGGGTTTTGGGGGTTCCTTATGTTAATTCTGGCATCATATACCCCAAACCCTATTCTAATTATTAAGGCCCCTACATTAGGGCTGGTTATTCACCTATGCCTCAACCGAAATCCTACAAGCCCCAAAGGTACCGGCTTTGGGCTACACCCTAAACCCTACACCCTGCATATATCCTAAAAGCCCAAGCCCCCTTAAGTCGAAATAATTAGGGTCTAATTTTTGTCCGAAAGCCAAATTGGAGGTTCATGGGTAGTTAGAAGTAAGTTTCCTAATAAGGCTAAAAAGTCATGCCCTACTTATACGCCCCGCGTATAACTACGCATGAACCTCCGAGTAAGCCCCATTCCCTAAACCCTACACCCTAACCCCTAAACCCTAAACCCTAAACCCTAAACCGTTACTGGCTTTGGGCTTAGAGCTCGGGCTTTCGGCTTGAGTTTGGGGCTTTCAGGAATCCGGATCTCTGCTTTGCTTCGGGGTTTAGGGTTATACCCTAAGGGTCCAAAGGACCCAATAATAACTTCAATTCCTAGACGGTGCCTATATACTTCCCAAAAGACCATCCTTGAAGACAATCATGATTACCCAAAGAGCCCAAAGGACCCAATAATAAGGTACTTTGGTTGCGGATAGTAGTTATTTAGGTTAATATTTGGGAGAGTATATGATTAATATGTACTTGGACCCTTAGGGTTCAGGGCTTAGGGTTATAGGGCTTAGGGTTCAGGGCTTTGGGTTTAGGGTTATAGGGTTAGGGTTATAGGGTTTTTGGGTTATAGGGTTTAGGGGGATTTTGTATTATAGGACTTAGGGGCTTAAGGGTTGAGGGTCATGTTTTGAGGTTTAGGGTTATAGGATGCAGAGCTTAAGGAATCAGGGTCATGTTTTGGGGTTTCAGAGTTATAGGATTTAGGGCTTAACGGTTTGGGGTCCCATTTTGGGGTGTAGAGCAGCCCAAAGCTAGTGGACCAGCTCTATCCGCCGAAAGGGCTTAGGGATCTAGGGTGCTTCCCTGCCAGCGCGGCCCTCTTGATGACACCTTCCTTGGTGGTGTGCAGCGCTCTTACTGGGGCCCGCGCCTTGTAGGAGTTTCGTCATCGGGTTTTGTCGGTTTTATTTGGGTGGAAAAGGGTTCCAGAATGTTGATTGGGCTTTTGGGAGTTACATTGCGGGGCTTTTGGTTTAAGGTTTGGGGCTTAGGGTGTTTAGGGTTTGGGGTTTAGGGTTTAGGATTTAGGGTTTAAGGGTTTAAGGTTTTAGGGTTGAGGGTTTAGGATGTTTAGGGTGAGCCTCCGATAGCCGGATCATTTAAGGCGCTGGATCTGGTTTGCTCCCCACGTCTTCTCGTCGATCGTCTGGTGGAACTTCGCTTGGATCCAACTCATCAAGTGGATCCGAGCCAAGCACATCTGGCTCCACCGCTTGAACGGGAGGATTCAGGCCGGGGCATCCCTACGTAGAGGGCCCTTGAGAATGAACATACCTTAAGAACCCCAAACCCACTTTTTCGTAGGTTCTTATTATAAACCCTAATATGGGATTTATAGGGACCCTACAAAGTAGGTTTGGGGTTCTTAAGGTAGGGCTCTAGGTTCTATGGGTAAAATAGGCACCATACTTGAATTGAGGTCTAAGCTGCACGCGAAGAGTTTAAGGATAATTAATTACACTATGTTAAACTACATCTCTGCATGGACCCAACACTCCGAGCTTTCCCATTAGGTCTCAAACCCCGAACTTTGTACTCTATAACCCCCAACCCTCGGCATACAAGCCTGCAAGGAACTAGACGCAACCCTAAACCCTAAACCGAGCCCCCGGAGCCCAGTGCGAACCCTCTTCGGGTGCGCGAAATGCCCAAACTCCTTAGGGTTCAGGGTTTAGGGTTCAGGGTTTAGGGTTTATCATCCATGTGCCTGTTGATCTAAACAGGAAGCCCACAACTGTTCGCCAAACCATGAGGCCCTCAATCAAAGAAGATCTCTTAGATTAGCTTTTACGTGTTCATAGACCCTGTACCCAGAATATCTCTTTGAATAGCCCTAGGGCTCAGGGCTCCTGAACCGCACACCAGGGATGTCTCCTACATTAAGAGTTCCTAGGCCCTAAGCACTCGACCCTCCCTAGGTCACGGCCATGATGGGCCAGATCATCACAGGCATCGGCCTTGCCAGCGGGTCCCCGACGCACGGGGTGAAGATGTTGAGCATCTGAGCACAAGAAGATTCAGAAGGGTTCAGGGCTTTACGCGGGCTGTAGGTTTTGGGGGTCTTTGTCTGGTAGGTTTTGGCACCAGCAGTTTCGGAAGTGGAGCACAACACACTGTAATTATTTTAGAACATGTTGTTTCGGGTCCGTCCTGTATCTCGAAATGCTTGACGTCAATGTGAATTACCTTGCCCCATCAAGTAGCAAAACGATCACCGCCACCGGAGGCCTTATCATCATGATGACTCTTGGCGAGGGTGTGACAAAAGCGTAGGCCCTGACATAGGCACTAGATGGTGATGGAAGTGACTAACAAGTAATATATTCAGGCTCCTGCTACCAGAGCCAGCAGAACCAGCAGAAAGCGGGACACCGCTGCAGTTTGGAGACGAGAGACGTGTAGTGACAGTGCTCCCTCCCTTCATGATTGCCTGCTTCAATCCCTAGAAGACACCCTAAGGGTCCAAGTACCTAATAATCATATACTCTCCCAAATAGTAACCCATAACTACTATATAAGTACCTAATTATTGGGTCCAAAGCTTTGGGGACAAGCTTAGGCACTGCTTACGGTCTTGCGATGGCCTATGTCTTGGCAAACACGATCTACTACGTCCGGAAGAAGGCCTTGCATGCCCTGCCTGTCATCGGAGCTTTAAATCGGCTCGCCTTGCGCTAAGGACCTAGTATCCAACTTTAATTTAAGTCAGTACTACTCTAAAATGTAAACGCTAACATAATCCTCTTTGCAATCGCAGTCACAGTTGGTACTCGTTCCATGAAGCAGTCGAAAGGGGTTAACTAGTACTTAAGCAAGCCTCGAATATCACACGGTTTCTTTAGCGTTTCCATATAACTGTACCACATGGCGCGTTGTGTTTAGATTTCTAGGGCTTAGCGTATAGCAGGACATCGTCCGGCACAAGTACTGGGCCACGAAACTCTTTGGCTACTCCCAAGCCATCGCGCTCCAGCGGTGTCTCGGCTATCAAAACACGAACTGGCTTATGCGGTTGCTGAGGGCAAGGGCTGTTTTTGGGCGTTGTAGACAGACTTTCTGTCTTCAGTGTGGCGAATCACGGAGGTGATGGGTCTTTCTGTTTTGATGTCATTCGACTAGGAGTGGGATCGCTAGGGAGTTTCCCAGGGCTTCCCATCGCAGGTGGCCAGAGTAATATGGGGACCTTAATATTTAGAATAGTGAATAGGGTTTAAGGTATATTCTAGTATAATTATAATAAGGAACCCCCAAAACCCTATTCTAATTATTCAGGCCCCTACATTACAGCTTCAAGAGTTGCCTGCATGTCACCGAGTTACAAACCCCAAACATGACAAGATGTTCCATGAGCCCTCTAAACAAAGCTTAGCAACCCTAAGCCGTTGAACCCTAAACATGATACCTGGCACATACCTATAGTCTCCATTGTAGTTCGTTTATTTGCGGCAACCCTATAGGATACTACATATAGAATTAGCTCAACCAAAGAAGGAATTCCAATGGAGACTACAGGTATGTTACAAAAGGGAGCCCAGTTACCTATATAGTGGTTCACTGTCCCTTAGAACTCAAACCCTAAACCCTAAACCCAAAACAATATGAACCTCGCAGTTACCTGTATACCCGATATATAAACCCTAAACCCTAAACCCTAGACCCTAAACCCTAAACAAGATAAGCCTTGTAGGTACATCGTTGCTTTCGAACGCATGCCGCACCTGTGAAATTCGAACCAGGGAGCCACCCGAAAGCTGGCCAGTGTTGGACCCTCCCTCTTTAAGGCACAGGGTTTAAGCTTTGGGGTTTAGGGTGTAAGGTTTAGGGTTCAAGGTTTAAGGTTTAGTATAGGGTTTGAGGTTCAGGGTGTAGGGTTTAAGGTTTAGGGTTCAGGGCTTAAGGTTTGGGTTTTACTGTTTAGGTTGAGTTGAGGGTTTGGAGCTGAGGTGAGGGTTTACGGTTCAGCGATTTCCTCGGAAGGCTGCAAGACCTGTAGTCCATAGCTTTCGAGACCCCCAGGCGCTTTTAGAGGCCACCGGCGTCATTCGTGAAGTGACATAGGGGCCTTAGCAATTAGAATTCGGTTTGGGTTTTTTGATACTTTCGTTATAATAAGGAACCCCCAAAACCTATATTATTAAGGCCCCTACACTACTCTTTCAGCTATGGCGTTTTCTGCTGATGTCCTCTCTCACAAGCACGACCCTCTGATACACCATAATCATAAGCTCCTAACCCGAAGCTATTTCAGTTGCCTTGTTTCAGGGCTCAAAATGGCGCAAACGCCTTGTGTAGCATGTTCTCTGGACACGAAAGTCTTTAAACCTAAGTCCTTAGAGCCTTAGAGTTCCACAATCGGCCCCCATCTACCAAAAACCATAAACCCTAAACCCCAAAGCCCTAAACCCTAAACCCTAAACCCAAAACCCCAAAACCCCAAAACCCCGAACCCGAAGATCGGCCCTAGGGTGTACTTCTTTGCCTTCACCGCTTCGACGCTGCTTGGCGACTCTCCGTTCTGGACCGTCGCGCCCTCCAGCTCCTTGGAGCAGCGCAATGCGGAATCAAAGGAGACGCCCAAAGATTCGGGTGTAGGGTTTGAGGTTTGGGGTTTGAGGTTTAGGGTTTTAGGGTTTAGTGTTTAGGGTTTAGGGGTTTAGGGTTTTAGGGTTTAGGGTTTAAGTGTTTTTTTAAGTGTTTAGGGTTTCAGGGTTAACTTGCGATTTATAGGGTTTGCCTAGACCCCCCAAACCACCTTCTAGTATACCCTATATACCCCTATTAAGGACGATGAGGACTCTATTGAACGACCTGGGGGTTAGGGTTTGGCACGGCTTGGATACGAGGTTTAGCGTTTATACTTCGGGTTTAGGTTCGGAGAGCCATCCACTTCAAAGTTCATAGAAGATTCCGGCAATCTGAAGAACCCTAAGGGTCCAAGTACCCAATCATCATATACTCTCCGAAATAGTAACCTACATAACTACTATCCGAAATTGGGTCCTTTGGACCCTTGGGGCTAAGCCCTAAACCCTAATCCCGAACCCTTGATCCCTAAACCCTAAACCCTAGGGGCCTAAACCCTAAACCCTAAACCCTAGATTATTGGGTCCTTCGGACCCCTGGGGGGAATGCGCCATCTTGTTTGGGTTTGGGGTTTTTGTACGGGCTTAGGTGCACTGGGCGGCTGTGCGACTTCTTATAGGGTTTAGGGTTTAGGGTTTAGGGTTTAGTATACCACACTCTCCCACAACAACGCAGGGACACAAGAATCGGGTCCCCTTTTTGGGGGCCCTTTCGAGGGTTCCTTTAAAGGCGTCCGTTTTGGGCCCCTTGAAAGAGTACTACAGGGTTCTATAATGGGCAAACTGGCGGTTGTTCACGCACTGCACATGAGACACGACAGCCTCAACCCTGCGCCCCGAACCCCGGAGCGCGTAAGAGGTTTAGGGTTTAGGGTTTAGGGTTTAGGGTTTAGGGTTTAGGGTTTAGAGGACATGTTCGATGACTCTTTCTCCATGTGCATCTTCACAGCCATCGTTCTGACGGAGTGGTACCAAGCGGCAGACGTCCACGAGCTTCTGGAGTACCGCGTCAAGGACGCAACCCCTAACTTTCTTGACGATTTAGGATTTACCTAGACTCCCCAAATACCTTCCACTATACCCAAATGCCCGACCACTTGGGCTGTATGTGCAAGTTACTTCTGAGTCCCGGTATGGCTTGGGGTGTCTAGGGTTCGGAATCCCGAGATAATGGGCCCTTATCGGAGGAGAGGGCCTGCTCCGTTCTGCCTTTGAAGCTCTTGCAGAAGCCTAGAGGGTCCACATATACGACTTACTTAGTAGAGAGGGGCCCAAAACCATAATGCATGAGGATGGTCATGGGACCCAATTCCACAATATTCCGCAATGGTAGTAGTATATACGGACCCGCTGGGAAAGTGATGGTTGCTACGATGCCCGAAACCCGTTTGTAGAAGTCGGGTTTGGTCACGTCACACCCCAAGCCTTAAACCCAAGGTAAGAGCCTGCTCCTACATGCCTCTTCGGGTTCGAGCTATGGATCGGTTGTCAATCTTTTTTGGGGATCTTCGAGCAAACTTTGTATGAACGCCACGTTATTACGTGACCTTGTCCCAGAGGATGTCAACGCGAAGAACGGCCTACCTCCCCTTCAGCAGCCTCTGGTGGGGTGAAGGAGCAGCATCAGGGATCAACAGGAACGGTGGGTCTAGGATTTGGGTTCTGCAGTTACCCTAAACCCTAAACCCCAAAACCTTAAAGGTTGACTTGGGTCTTGGCATACTTTGTACATGGCATCAGCCGCGCAGTGGTGATGTGCATATGCCAAGGTAGCCCAGAGGCAGACAGAAGGGGTAGTAGTTAGTACTACTCTGCAGAGTTCTAATAGTATTACGTACCCCACAGGCTTATTCCAATTGATTAAATTAAACTATATGAAGTCATGCATATATATATATATATATTTATTTATTTATTTATTTATTTATGCGTGTGTGTATATATTGATTGAGCCTAGCCCCAACTTCCGCAGTCTACCACACGCCACGACCGCATCCTGATTCAGATGCATATATGTATACATGTATATACATACACCCACATTACATGTTCGTATATACATGCATACTAACTACATAGTTTTACTATCGCAGTGTACCCCCAAACCGCAGTCTATTTCTTTATCCCTCAAGCATTGGCAACTGAACGAAGTCACTGCGCGAGGCTCCAAGCCAACGCCTTAAGGATGGGGTCTTTGTTAAGGACCTCAGTGCAACCTGTCATTGCCAGGGCGTAGGGTTTCCTAGCAGTATGACCTCCTTGGGTTCTTCAGTAAGGACCCCGAAGCTAGACCCGTAAAACCGAAATCCCCAACAGCCCTGTAGTCACCCCAATCCAGAAGCCCCATAACCCTCTACAAACAAAACACCCGATAAAGCTCTCTGAAGCCCTATAAACCCGTAACCGAAAACCCTAAACCCTAAACCCCATAAACTCTCGACCCTCAACCGAAGCTTGAAGAAGGAAACTGCCGGGAGAGGAATCTGCGAATAGTTACAGGGCTCATAGGTTTCAGGGTTTAGGGTTTGTGGTTTAGGGTTTTAGGGCTTTGGGGTTTAGGGTTTAGGGTTTCAGGGTCAGGGTTTGTGGTTTCGAATTTTGGGGCTTTTGCTGTTGAAGGTTTCTAGTTTTCGGTTTTAGGGTTGAGTGCACAACTGCAGGTAAGTCGGTTATTCATCTAACCATGGCTGCTCCCTACATAGAAGTGTTGGTTGAGTTTGAGCTAATCATATTGAAGAGCTCGCATGGAGAGTTGCATTTTCTGTTTTGGGGTTCTACTGAGGTTTATGGTCGAGATGAGAACCTAGTGCTGACTGCACGCCAACTGTTGCGGCGGCCAGCTCTGTGTTTGATTCTGTTTCTCGGAACCGGAACCATGTAATCTGGAGATCCGATATGTGGATAGTTGTCTAAATGAGGGTCCCTTGTAGGGTCCTTTCTATAAAGGGTGCCGTACTATATCGGGGGCCAAAAAAGGGACCCTATTTTTAGAGAACTGCACATGTGAGTCCCTCCCAATCATCGAGGGCTCTTCGGGCTTAGGGCAGTTTCGGCAATAGGAGGCTGCTGATCCCCTAGTCCCTATCGGTAGGCTCATACCCTTACCTTTTTTTAGGGTATCTGCTTTTCTAATAGCAGATCCTAACCATAAACCTCATAAAAACTAGGTACCCTGAAAAAGCGGTCGGTTATGAGCCTCTAGGTAGTCCCCAATCTTAACGCTAAGCCCTGAAGAGGTAGCAGAGCTTCCAGGAAAGCCGTAAGCCCTTTATTTCGGTTCTGCGCTTCCAAAGTGTGCGTGTGCCGTTTAATGCGCTGTTCGCCACGTATCGACACGCAGATATCCGAAAAAAATGCCGGAAAGGTTTGGATTTTTGGGGGTTCAGGGGGTCGTGGTAGCTTCAATTACTTCATTCTTGAGCCCGTCAGGGTGTAGGGCTTTAGGGTTTAGGGCTTAGGGCTTAGGGCTTAGGGTTTAGGGTTTAGGGCTTAGGGCTTAGGGTTGAGGGTTTTTGTCAATTGGGATTCGGCCGCAGTTGCTCGACCTTCCTGGCACTTTAGAGTGGGGTGCTTCATTCCGTTACGGCCACTCCCATTCTGCTCTCCGCCAGGCCGCTAGGATTTACCGTCATGTCTGTAAATATTTAAATAAATAAATAAATAAATAAATAAATATATATATATGCATATGTATGTATAATGCATTATAATACACACACACACATATATATATATATATATGGGTTTAGGGTTTATATATGTTGTTTCTCCTAAAACTCGTGTGGAATCCTTGGTTCATGCTGCAAAACCCTATTCTAATTATTAGGGCCCCTATATTCGACCTGTGATGGTGTTTCGCGATGCTCAAGCCAGCAGCAGGATCGGGGTTCACAGCCGGGTTCTTCCGGCTTCGCACTTGCGACTTTTATCGGACGCCCCCTCGGCTCTCCGACGCGAAGTGCCATGGCTGCGTCCGGCTGGTCCCTGCGGGATGTGTCGGCAGTGACCCTCATCATCGTGTGCTTCTGCTTCGCCTGGTTGGTATCCATGGGCCGGGGTTCTCAAAAGTACGAATAACAGTCACACTCGTCTCCAGTGTAGTTTTGGTTGTGTGGTTATCTTGTGTAGAATCCTAAGTATAGAACTGGTAACTTGTAGAGGATCCTAAACATTGAGTTCGTTAAGCTTAAAAGGGGAACTAGACTGGAGAGAGAGGAGGGGTTGTACTGTAGATGCATCTTCGGGCTAAGCCCCAAAACCCCCTACCAGTGGCCCAGAAGACCTAGCTTAAGTTTTAAGGAACTCTATGAGGAAACCATGATAAGGAACCCTAAAAAGGTAGGTCTTTTCGGCTCCAGGTAAACCCTGAACGGGTTAGCCCTAAACCCTAAACCCTAAACCCTAAACCCTAAACCCTAAACCCTAAACTTCAGAAGGTGAGGCCCCAAGGCCCCCAGAAGTAGTTCTCTAAATTAGGGTCCCTGTCCCCAAGGGGGTCCAAAGGACCCAATAAATAGGTACTTAGGTTTTAGGGTTTAGGGTTTAGGGTTTAGGGTTTAGGGTTAGGTTTCGCATAGCAGTTATGTAAGTTACTATTTGGGAGAGTATATGATTATTAGGTACTTGGACCCTTAGGGTTTTGGGGTCCTTCTTATCATGGTGCCGTACTTTATTTGGGGTAGGGTCCCTTTGGGGGGTCCTTCTTATAATGGTGCCGTACAATTTGGGGGACCAAACATGGAACCCGGATCTTGAGAACTACACAATTTCTCAATTGCCTATTGGGTTTAGGGTTTAGGGTTTAGGATTTAGGGTTTAGGATTTAGGGTTTAAGGTTTAGGGTTTATAGGGTTTAGGGTTTAGGGTTTTCATGTTTTGCCCTGCGACGGCAGGCCAGAACCTGTTTCTCTTGCACTTTCCGGACCGGGAATACGCAAATCAGCAGCTGGAGAACGCGGTGGGCCGGCTTTCGTATTCACTGGACAAGCTTGTATAGATCCCCTAAAAGTCCTAGAGCCTACAGGTTTAGGATTTAGGGTTTGAGCTTAAATTCTAGATCCTAATGCACCCTATATAGGTACATCTACTTTGGGATGAGCCCCCGGTTCAAGGTTGCCTGTGAGAACCCCAAATGTTAAACCCTAAACTCTGAACGGCTGAAGTTATCCTTATTTCCGAAGCCCATGACTATTTTGCCTGCAAGGTTCAGGGTTGAGGGGTTTAGTTAGCGATTAGGGTCGGTTTAGGGTTTAAGGTTTAGGGTCCGCGGACTGGACTCGGGATTTCTGTCATGCTGTTTCCCTGCTAGCGCGGCCCTCTTGATGACACCTTCCTGGGCGACGTGCAGCGCTCTTACTGGGGCCCGCGCCTTTCGCGGGGGACGTTAGCAGGTTTTGAGTTTTATAGTACGGGTGTATACGGCTTCATAAGCTTTGCATAGGGCCTCAGGGTGCTAGCGCGTTGGTCTATAGGGTTGAGGGTTTTCGGGGTCGACCGGTAGAGGATGTAGCCATGTAGCCAAAGATCGTGAACAAACAGAAGAGAAAACATACATGCAAACAGACAGACGAAGACACGGACACGGACACAGACACAATTCTAAAACCGAATCCTAGACCCGAAACCCTCAACCCTAA